AGATTCTAGCCTCTGTCCATCTTCATCGCGTGTGCCTCAGAGAGCAGAGCTATCGCGTCTACCCGGGAGAGCTGAGCATGGCGTCTCTTCGGGAGCAGAGCAGAGTCTGACCTCACTTCCTCTTCCACCCAGAATTCTATTCTGTTTACTCCTCCCATCTATGTTCCAAGCCATGAGGCCAAGCAGCTGGTTTATTATAACTTAACCAATGAAATCAACAGATTGATATATGACACTCCCACATCACTTCCCCTTTTTCTGTTTAAACAAAAAAAAGAAGGCTTTAACTTAACATAGCAAAATTACATATAACAAAACAGTTATCAAGTAAAAATTACAATAATCTATATCATAACTAAGAAAAACTATAACTATAGCTAACTATTCTTAACTCCATCAAACAGTCCAGAAAGATACAATATTACCTAAACAAATAAGAAATAAGCAAACTCTCAAACTCTAGAAATGACAGAGACATCTCACTGCCTGGACAGTCACCCAAAGTTCCTCTGTACCGTTGGGGCATCCATCTTCAGCCTAGAGGCCCATAGTTTCCAGCAGACATTTCCACAAAGCAGGAACTTTCAAAGGCAGTCACTATCTGCTTGTCCTGAAGAATGTCTTGCAGACTCTTTCATGAATCAGGAACCCCGAAAGATCATCTCACCTTTAGGCAAGTTCAGCAGTCCTCTCTCTGCGGGTTCTCTGTGTCCAGTTTATGCAATAGTCCAGGCAAGAGCAGTTTCTTGCCCAAATGGCTATCAAACTCCATAAGGATCCTCTTCGATGCCCATCTTCCTCTTGAAGTAGATTGGTGCTGCCAGGAGCAGAGTGTCTCATTGTCATGAAAAGTCCTAAGTTATTAAAACATTTAAAATGCCATATTCTCTAGCCTTTGAAAGATATGAAGAATGCCTATCTAAAATATATCTATGCACATCTAGAAAATCTTAACTAACATAACTACAAGCTTAACTACTATTAATGATTATTCATTAACAACCTATATACATTCAAAATTGACCTTAAATCTCTATCAATAAAGCAAAATCTATACTAATGCAAATTATTCATATCTATATCATATCCCCCTTTAAATGTAAAAGAACATTTATAAACAATATTTGGGAACATGGGCGTAGTTTTTTCTCTCCAAACTGCTTCCTGCTGAATGGGGGCGTCGTTAATTAGGTCTTTCATGGTATAACCTGTGTGCTAGTTTCATCTCAGTTGGCAGTTGAGCGAAGCAATTTTCTGAAGGTATTCACAGCAACCGTTCAGGAGGGCGTGGTCCATCATACCATATCGGAATAGAAGAAATGAACAGGGTCTCATCCTCTGTGAAAACAAAATAGGAAACTCCTTTCGAAAGCATCATGTCCTTAGATCCAAATTTCAAAGTCAAGGCATCAAAATCTCTACGATGGATTAGTTCAGCAGCATTTATAAACAAATATCTTTTGGCAGCTGTTGCTCCTTCCTCAGCATTCAAACAATTCAAAGAGAGCATAATAGTATACAGTATCAAGATTCTCTGTGTATTTTCCATCTTTGTACGCTTTATTTTAACCTCTATTTCGTTTATTTTTACTTTTATTTTATATTCTCTGTATCTCTTTGACCTGGAATAACTCTGTAGACCAGGCTCTCCTTGAACTCTCAGAGATCCGCCTGTCTCTGCCTCCCAGGCATTGGGATTAAAGGTGTTTGCTACCACACCTTGAACTCACAGAGATCTGTTTGTCTCTGCCTTCTAGGCACTGGGATTAAAGGCGTGTGCTACCACACCTTGAAGTCACAGAGGTCAATCTCCCTCTGCCTCCCAAGTGTTGGGATTAAAGGCGTGTACTACCACACACAACTTCTCTTTTTCTTACTTTTTTTTTAAAAACTTTTAACTTTTAGCTTGCATATATTTTTAACACACTGTAAATCATTTAAACATTTTCTTTATCTTTGAATCTCTTTACTGTATATCTCTCTTTTTCTGACCACACGAGCCTTTAAATTACTGAGCAATATGAGTAGGATTAAAGCCGTGGCTTTGCCAGCTAGATCCAGTCCATTCCTTAGCTTTCCAGCCTCATGGCTGAGGTACCGGTTGTAGCCATGTTTACTGCCACAACTCTATGGCATTTCAAGGTCCCTGCCAGCAAGCGAGCTTCAGCAGCCTGTGCTTGCAAACCACACGAACCGCCTGCGTAAAAGAGTCAGAGTTTGCCGTGGCAGGACAGCCCAGAAAGCCGGCATTTTTAAACGGCACAGCTTTTTTCCTGCTACAGCTGAAAATCGAAAAGCATGCGTTCAGCTTTTCGTCAACACCATTTAAGTGTTTTGTGGCAGGACCTCTTAATGAGCTGCAGGGTTTTGCAGCTGAAGCTGAGTCAGGAAGCCTCTCTTAGATGAGAGTGCTTGCTTGCCTCTAGCAAGCAGAGGAGACCCGAGAAACTGCTGCTACCAAGAAAACATGCTTTACTCTTTCCCAAGCTTTTTCAGGCTTTCTGTGGATTCAGTTGTCCACACGTCTGGGCGCCATCTGTTGAAATAAGAGCGGCGGGGCTGCGTCCCCAACACCCCGGCCGCTTGGCTAGCTCATGCCCGAAATAACAACACACAAACTGTATTCATTTAAGAACTGCTTGGCCCGTGAACTCTAACCCTTACAGGCTAATTCTCGCACCTGGACTAGCCCATTTCTAATGATGTGTGTAAGCACCCCAAGGTGTGCATACCAGGAAGATTCTAGCCTCTGTCCATCTTCATCGCGTGTGCCTCAGAGAGCAGAGCTATCGCGTCTACCCGGGAGAGCTGAGCATGGCGTCTCTTCGGGAGCAGAGCAGAGTCTGACCTCACTTCCTCTTCCACCCAGAATTCTATTCTGTTTACTCCTCCCATCTATGTTCCAAGCCATGAGGCCAAGCAGCTGGTTTATTATAACTTAACCAATGAAATCAACAGATTGAAATATGACACTCCCACATCAGCATGGCACCGGGATTTATCTCTAATGTATCTACTGGTTTTTTGGGATCCTATCCTCTTTGGATGTACACCTTGCTCAGCCTAGATATGGTAATGAGGGCCTTGGAACTTCCACAAGGCAATGTGCCTTATTTTCTGAGGATTAGATGGGGGTAAGGTGGGAGGGTGTGTGGAGGTAATGGGAGCAGGGGAGGACGTGGGAACTTGGATTGGTAGTATTTAAAAAAAAATGAATAAATTTAAAAAACTAAATAAGTGAAGGACTCCACCAGTTCTTAGTAGGATGAGAAGTTGGTCCCAGATGAAGTTGCCTACCAAGTTACTTGATATTTACAAGTGTTCCTTAATCATTTGCTTTCTGAATTTATTGTTTTGAGCCTCAGTTATATAGTTTATATTATTTTCCTTTTTTCATTAGGATCTCTACGTATGATATTATTTCATCCACCTCCTCCCAAATCTGGCAAGCATGGGGGCCGTATCAACCTTATACTTATTTAAGCACAGTTAATGCTGCCCATATGTGCATTGTGTGAACCCATATACTGCAATATTGGAAGCATACCTGTGACCATACCCTCAAAAAAAAGGGACTATGTCCCTTGTCCAGAAAATACATTTCCACCTGCTCCTCTATAAGAAGTAGGGTCAATGAATTATCAGCCCTATCTATACCAGGCTGGTTTGGCCATAGTTAGGATTATACAGACAACAGCAGCCATTATGAGGCCATGATTGTAATATCCATGACATGTCCAGAAGACAGCATTCCACAGCACCCCTCCCTGTGTTCCACTCCTCACATTCTTCTCACGTCCTCTTCATCAGTGTTCTCTGAGCCTTGGAGGATGTTGAATAATTTTGAAAATCTTATATCACACAACATACTGAAGATTGGGAAGGACATTTTCTGCCTTATTGAAAATCCAGATTGTGTGTTTGAGACTCTGTGCATGTGGTTTTCTGACTTCTGTTTGGTAGGCTCGGAAATAGAATGGAAGTCAAGACAGGAAAAGACATTTTAAGTGAGAGGCAAGAAGGAAGGAAATGGCACAGGTTAGGACAGATGTTTTAATTGAAATGTTGGGTGTAATGAGAGAAAGGGGATGAGAGAGTAGAAAGCATGAAAATTCAGGAAAATAAAAACAGTCATCTGACAATACTAATCTGAGGCCAAAGTTCTGTGTTTTGTTATAAAAACGTATTAAGTGCCTTCATTATGTTGATATAAATATGCAGAAATAAAAAATGACATAAGACAACATCAAGACAACCATGAGTTGCCTGGTATCAAGTTGGGGAAAAAGAAAGGCACAGTGGGAAGTAGAAAGTGAACTTAGGAAAAATTTCAGAATGCAAAAGATTACATGCTGCAAATATAAATATATCTCCATAGCAATCTGATAGGAAGAAAGACAACCAGAAGGAATGTCTCATTTGTAAACTTCCGGGGAGCATAGGACAGCATTTCTCAGAACTGAGGAAAACCAAAAAAAAAAGTCTCAAGTGTTCCTTTCACAGAGAAGGGGTTTCACCTAGAGGCAGGTGTCACTCTAGGCAAATTCCACCTCAGGAAGAAGGACATGTCCAGCAGAGACAACAAAGGGAAGGACAGAGATAATATCTAGAAACACAGCAGTGTGGAGCTTTTCAATTTCACATTGATCCTAAAGAGACATGACAGTGTGGAAACACAAACATTTCTATGCATATGGTGAAAAGGGAACTAAGTACAGTGTAGAGAAGCCCTAAGAAGGAAAATGTTTACGCAGAGCTACATTAATGCTTCAATTTCTGTAACTGTCATCAGTGTGTATGATGACTTATATCTGCTGAGTACTGCCTTCTGCCCAGGTCCAACTACAGAGCTTGCTATAGCAGGAAGATATGTAAATATGACTTATTTGTTTCCATAAAAACTATGCCTGTCCTGACCCTGCAGCTCTGGCAAGGGAGACACACACTGGATTCCCAAGTCCTTCCAGTCAGGGTTCAGTGCTCAACACAGGCCACTCTCCATGGACTTAGGGCTAATACTGGTTTTCTCTGTCCTTATTTTAAAAGGTAATTCACAAAGATGAGATGCTGTGTGTTGTGTGTACATGAGAAAGAGAAAAAAATGTCTTTTGTGTCAGTTTTCTAACCAGAATTCTCTGTGTTTATAGGTGTCCAGTGTGAAGTACAGTTGCTGGAGTCTGGGGGAGGCTTAGTGCAGCCTGGAAAGTCTCTAAAACTCTCCTGTGCAGCTTCTGGATTCACCTTCAGTAGTTATGCAATGAGCTGGGTCCACCAGGCTTCCAGGAAGGGTTTGGAGTGGGTGGCAACCATTGTTATGGTGGAAGTAGCACCTACTATACCGACGCTGTGAAGGGCCAGTTCACAATCTCCAGAGACAACGCCAAGAACACACTGTACCTGGAAATGAGCAGTCTGAGGTCTGAGGACACAGCCATGTATTACTGTGCAAGAGACACAGTGAGTGAATGCTACTGTGAGCTCAGACACAAACACCCCTGTGGGTAACACAAGACCAGCATGGGGCGCTGAGAGTACTTAGAAATCTGGGTGACAGAAGAACCTGCTTAGAGAAGCAATGGAAGACTGAACTTCTCAGTGTTTGCACTGCCTCTCCATATCACACTTAGCAATTTTCTCTACATGTATAATGTGTAGTAATCCTTGAATGTCCATTTTTTTTTCCAATTTCTTTTTCCTATTGGGTTGTGTGTGTGTTATTTATTACAGTGTTTCTCCTTGTTTCCCTTTAACTCTATCTGTCTACCTGTCTCTCTCAATGTCAATCTCTGTCTCTGCCTCTGTCTCTCTCTGTCTCTCTGTCTCTCTGTCTCTCTCTCTCTCTCTCTCACACACACACACACACACTTTCTCTCTAACTCTCTCTGTTTGTGTGTGTGTTTATGTGCTGACATATGATGATGAACAGCTTCTGTGTTTCTCTTTTCAATGTGTGACAGACACTGTTACTCATATGTGCAGTCTGCTCTCATTTTTACCTTTTAATTCAGGTGTGTGAGTGGAACATGAATAGTGAGATTCTAGCACATGCTGTGGTTCAGCTACACAGTAGTCTTGAGAAGGTCATGGAGTCCAGACTCAGATAGGGGTCACCAGCTGAGGGAAAAGTTTCCTTCTACTTCTCCTTGTCCTCTTCCTTCTGTTTTCTTTATTTGGTTTGATTTATCCACAATACCCCAACATTCTTGAGATCCATGCTAAGTAAAATGATCCTTTACAGAATCAGTTATAAGTGCTGGGCATCAAGGAAAAAGAATTTCTGTTCCTCGTGTATTTGTTAGTAGTCCGTAAATGCAGGCTTCAAAAATTATTTTCAGTAGAATAATGTGATGTTTTAAAAGATTGATCTCAACTTGAAGCTCTGTGGTAAAGTGTGTTGGGATCATGTGAAATGTCTTAAGTTTAAGAACCAAACTCTCTTGAAAGTAGGAATTAAGCACTTAGGAAAATATCATTTCTTACTTTGAGAGACTTAAATGAGCAATTCTCATTGCTGGAGAAGAAATGGAAGTCCTCAGATTAGGAAATGCAGTTGTAAAGTTGTAGAGAAGGAACAAGTCTACAGGAGTTCATCTCTTGACTTCCATAGCAAGCAGTTCATCCAAGGTATGCAACATCCATGACACAGTTTTAAATGACTATTAACTGTGGATACAATGCAGGGTAATGAAAATGTTTGGATGTCTTGAAACCTAACTGTCTAGACTGTGTGTGCATTGTGTATGGTTTGCACATGTATCTGAAGGCAAGAGTTGAGACTGAGTATGTTTATTGGTTCATTTCTACCTTATTTTTGAGACAGGATCTCACAGTGAACCTGGAGCACAAATGTGCAGATATATTCTTGGGATGGCAAGTTTTAGAGAACCTCCAGTTACAACCCCCTCCAGTGCTGGGATTATAGGATAAACAATCACACACAGTTTCTAATCTAAGTGTTGTGGATCAAGCTAAGATACTAATACTGGATGGCAGGCTTCTTACCACTGAGCCAACTGTTGAGCCCTAGATACTATCACTATACATTGATAAAAGAATTGTAATATATAAAAGCAAGTACATGTATTGTAAAAAAATTTAAAAGAGAAAATGCATTGCCAATTATGGATTTTTAAACTATTAACTGTCTATATGAAAATGAATGATGTGAGTCCTCATAAATAACCCTTAAAAATTGCCATTATGGAATTCTGGAAACGGTGAAATGGGTAGGATTTGCAAAAGAAAGAGAATGTAAATAATTATCAGAATATATTGTATTGAAAGTTTTTCAAGGTAATAAATTCTTTAATTATCGACCACAGTGTATTTGATGGTAGGGCATGGTGAAATACAGTGTTAATACATTCAATATAGAGAGAGAAGCAAAAAATTCTCTCATACCTTGATCTATTTGGAAAGTCTCCACCACCTAGATAGATGACCCTGTCAAAAATGAAAAAAATTCATCCCTGCTAACAGTGAATGTGAGAGTGTTTCTGACTGTGGGTGTGAAGGATTGGTATGGGACTGTATCTGGAAGTGGGAATCTCATTCTCTTTGTGTGTATCTGTCTGTGTATGTGGGAAATGTGTGGCTGAGTTTGCAGAGAGTTGAAAATGACTGATGAAACATTTAATAATAAAGATCCACCTCTCAAATAGAAGATCATTGTAAATAATGTGTGACTTTACCATCAACTCATTCCCTTTGAAATGACTTTTGCTTAGTGAATTCCTTCTAGGCAGATTCACAGAAATAGAAATCCAGAAATCAAGAGAGAAATCAAGACAGAATACAAATGCAAACTATCTCTGCAGTAGACAATGTCAAAAATATGTGAAGAATAAGTTGATCTATACCAATTTTCCAAATGTAGTATCAGAAATGTGTCTTTATTTCTCTGATATTCCTTTCCTGAATTTTGTAACCACAATGAAAATATCAGACAAACCCAAGATGAGACAAACTAAACATGTCTGAAAAATATTCTTCATCTTACTGCACATAGCGAATAAGGAGAACTCAGCACTCATAGGGTTTGTTCCCCATCAGTATTTGGAAGGATGACTGTCTGACCTATGTTCTAGCTTCCCCACTGCCACTCACAGTAAATATAATGTGCACAACAAATTGAGGGACATAAAATGTGGGATTCTAATAAAGGAAGTGGTGAATATTCTTTGGAATCTGACAAGGCAGGTTGGGTATAGCTCATTTCCCTTCCCTGGTGATTGACATTACTAAGGCATGGGACAAAGCCCTTCAGTCCCTTGTCCTCTATGATTATCTTCACCACAAGGCAAACAGTTCCCAATGTTCAAGTATACCCTGCTTCCATGTCTTGTCATCATATAGGTTTCTATGTCTTTTGATTACTTCATCTCACATAATGCTCAAGCCTGGCTGGATGCTACTTCTTTTCATGAGGTGTTTATATGAACCACAAAAATTTTATATACAAGAATACATGGCCAACATTCTCACTCCTATGTGAGGATCCAAAGAAAATGACATTTTTAATTAAAATAGATTATTGCATTTCAATTATTATTTCCATATACTACTGTTATACTGTTGAACTCTCTATATGTGAAGCCTGAGGTATCAAATCTCACAGAGATGCCCACAATTAATTGTGATTGTAGCTATCACATACCTATAATTTTCACTTAATTGTTTTCAGTATGGCAATTTTCCATAAATAAAAGTGGGCACAGAAGTTACACTGGTTATATTTCTGTAAATTAATTTATTGAATAATGTGGCCATGGATGTGGACATGTATTACTGTGACTGACACACAGTGAGGGAAATCCAATGTGAGCCTGCAGAATGCTCCTCTTCAGAGAAACTTGGAAACAGGATGGGATGCAAAGGACCAACAGGAGTTAGAAGACAATTAGGGGTCACTTCAGAAATATGGAAGTTGTAGACTATGCTGCTTTAATTTTAAAATGTGAGGTTTCTTCTTTTAGTCAAAATGGCCAGTTAAGGTTTCTATCAACTGTTGAAGCCTATCAAGCTTCCTATTTTTCCCAAGCTAGAACCAATGGATTACCCACAAATCAAATCATCTGAGCTATACATTTGCTTCTTCTTGTCAGACAGATTGACACATGATTTTATATGTTACATGTATTTACATATAAATTTCCACTTAATTCCATTCAATACATTATGTGTGTGTGTGTGCGTGTGTGTGTGTGTGTGTGTGTGTGTAAATGTGTATTTTAAGAGGATACTGTAGGTTAGGACACTTGTTAAGTGTAAGTTCACTAAGTATGCTTAGGAATTTACAGTAATCTATAATTTTTTGGAATTTCTTTGGAAAAACTATTTGTAGCCTGAATTAATGTTCCTTTCACAAGACATCTTGAAAAGTTAATATTCATTCTTTTCTTATTCTAAACCTACAGGACTTAGAAGTGTTCACCTCATTATCATTTCTGACAATTCACCTTTATTTATTTCCTTCTTTGTAAAATTTACATTGCACATCAAAACACAAAGGACTGGTTCCTCTTCAGCTGTGTCCTGAACCTTGAGATCACAAAATTCTCAGCCTCCAGTGTGCATGTTTCACCAGATGTCAGCTCCAGTCCTTGTCCCCTCTATCATCAGTTTTTATCATAGACAGCTTCAGTGACACCAGCAGTGAGTGTTGAAGGTTTGGAGAGATACAGAAGTGTCTAGATTTTTAGAATCTTGATATTATGACTTATAACAATGAATTGAGCAGAAATTCATTCACAAAGCAGAAAGTAGCTTATTCAGTCTCATGTTACCCAGGCTCAGGCTGAGGATCAGAATTCATGACTGCTGGGGACTAGGTATGAGCAGGGAGAAACACTTAAACAATTTGGTTAGACCTAAAATATACCAAAGCCAATAACTAGAGATTCTAATTCTAAGCATTTACATTACGATAAAAATATCCATGACAAGATATTGAGATTCTAACACTATATCCCGAATCTCTCATAGTTTAATACCAAATGGTCTAGACAGTGAGGGCAAGCCAAACAGAGTGAGACTTAAAAGAAAGGGGAAAGTTAGCTAACACTTTAACTTCTGAATATGAGTTTTTGCGTGTGGAGGATATGATGTGTATGTGTGTTTGTGTGTGTAGGTGTGTGTGTGTGTATGTGTGTGTGTGCGCACGTGTAGGTGTATGTTTGGATGAGTGACATATGTGTGTCTTTAATTGAAATTGGGAAAGCTGTCACTGCCTCCACATCCATTCTTTCATCAGAAATAACTGAAATTATTCTAGTTTTTAATTCTGCACATGTCATGGCTATCATACCTAAGCATAATCGGAAGGTAAAGGTTTCTGTCATCTTAAATATTACAGTCCATCGTGTAAGTATATCAGTACATGAAATCAGAACAGGAAACTGGACATAGGAACTGAATTGAAAATCATAAAGAACCCTGTTTATTTCCCTGAACTCTCTGATTGTTCAGCATGCTTGCTTATACAAACTAGGAACAACTTCCCATGG